GACAGGAAGCCAGCTCCATGCTCTCTGGTGATGAGGGAGCATGGAGCCGGCTTCGCAGACAATCGGAAAGCCGAGCAGCATGTAATAAGTTGCTGCCCGGCTTCCTGATACCAGAAGTTCCAGGTATCGGTCTAGGCATCGGAGTATTTGGGTGAGTACTCGCCCAAATACTTGATATCGGTACTTATACTAATATCGGTGTATCCCTATTCTTATCCCAAAGTCGAAGTAATGAAGCGCCGCAAAAGACAATCCCTCCTCACTGGGAAATCCTTTCAAGCACACTGCAGGATGCTGCCCCCCAAAAAAGCCGGGAAAGCTGTGGAATCTGGGAAAAGAAAACAGAGGGGGCGCCTTTCCTGGTGCAGATCAACTTTATTTTCAATGATCATAAATAAACCGATAAATAACTCCTGGATTTTGGTATTTTAAATACAATAGGAAATGTTTAACCTCCTATTTATCAGTGGTTTAGGTCAATGCTTTTTTGGTCTGACAAGAGTGTTGATGCTTTGTCTCTGTTTTTGTCTATACAGAAACCAGTACTTTTGGGATGCGGGGAGCTCTTTCCATGCCAATCAGCAAAGGGCGAGGCAGAGGAATACTCAGGATGTTGGAGGAAATGCCAGATTTTAACCCAACCGAAGAATAAACCGTTGCCGTTGATAAATTTTTATTTCCAGTTTGGGGTATATCTGCGGTGACAACTGTTTTGTTTTCTAATCTTTGAGTATACTAACGCTGGAAACCTCTTTTCTTTGATCTATAATGATTTTTGGTGCTTTAGAAGTTCAGTTCTGAACAAAGTTGTGTTTTGGTCAACTGACGTGTTCTGCAATTTTGGGGAAAAGTTTAAAAAAAAACAATACTTTGTATCTTCGTGTGAACAGCTGATTGTAAAAGAAGTTTATTTTGGACTACTCAAAGCGGGTGCAATCAGGAAGTACGATGGTTTTGTCATGTTTCTTATTGCGGTAAAAAAAATAATTTGAGGAAAAGGGGGGAAAAAAGGTGCCGGGACATTAGCAGTATTCACCTTGCAGGGTTATTCTCTAAAGGGTGAAGAGTTTGGAGACGGCAGGAGAAGTGAACAATCTAGGACAACATAGCTGAACCGGCAAGTGAGCTGAATTGGATAATTTTTTCTGAATCATCTATTGTGTCCTAGATTGTTCACTTCTCCAAACTCTTCACCCTTTTGTGAATAATCCGGTTGGTTTCTTTAATACCGTGCAGTATAATACTACATGTATTGTCTCCATCTACTGACCCCAGTGTGCAATTATTGATTGTATTTTT